TTATTATTATTATTATTATTATTATTATTATTATTATTATTATTATTATTATTATTATTATTATTATTATTATTATTATTATTATTATTATTATTATTATTATTATTATTATTATTATTATTATTATTATTATTATTAAAATTATTATTATTATTATTAAAATTATTTTTGTAAAATATTTTTAATTTAACATACTTTATAGTTTTTCTTCATAATCATTAAATTTAATTTTTTTTTAGACGCAATGAAGCTCTGCATGTGCTTACACAAGATTCAATGACAGTTGAAGATGTTGAAAATTTATTAAAAGAAACGGAACATAATGGTTTCCCAGTGATAGTTTCAAAGGAATCGCAATATCTTGTTGGTTTTGTATTACGAAGAGATTTGAATCTTGCAATAGCAAATGCTAAACGTATGACAGAGGAAATTACTGGACAATCACTGGTTTTATTTACAAATGGAAACAATATTCAAAATCATTCTCCTCCACCACTTAAATTAAAAAAAATTCTTGATATGGCTCCAATAACAATTACTGACCAAACACCTATGGAAACTGTTGTTGATATGTTCAGAAAATTGGGATTAAGACAAACACTTGTTACACATAATGGGTAATTAATTTTTATTGTTGTGCATATTATTTGTTACATGCGTAATATAAAATTATATTTATTTTTTACTTATTTATTTTATAGTCGATTACTTGGAGTTATTACAAAGAAGGATGTATTGAGACACGTGAAACAACTTGACAACGAAGATCCTAATTCTGTATTGTTTAATTAAAAATTTATATAAAAAAATATACGTATGACAGATACATTGTTTTATAATGCATGGTATTAACCAAAAAAATTGGATACACTATGCCAATAGTATGGTTTTGATATTTTCATATAACTGTTAATTATTTGTTTTAATTATTAGTAATTAAAAATGAAGAAATAAATAGGTAAAACAATTTTAACTCACTACACTTCGCGAGTTTTTATGTTTTATTATGGCATTTTTTCAATTCAATTTCTATTTACAATGTTAAAAAATTTTTTTTTACAATTAAAACATGGAATAGTGCTCAATATTTTTTACAATTTCTTAGATTTTCATTTTAATTCAATATGTTTATAAATCTTTATATATTACTTGATTATTATGCTATGTAATATGTTATGTATATTATATTTAAAAACGTTATATGATAAATGAAATGAATTTTTATAGTTAAATCGATAGTGAAACCAAATTCTAATACATTTAGAAATAAATATGTTATAAATAGGTAGAATGGCGTATAGTGCAACAAATTTTATTGTTAGCAATTTAAAAATAATCTATATTTAAATATTAAGAATAATATCAATTTTATTTTTCTTGTAATTTTAATGTTTTAAACCTATTACGTTTCTTGGAATATTTGCTATGCATACGTATGTACAAATATTATGATTAATATAATTAATTTTGATTTTGTTTTATATATTTTGGATTAGAAAGTAACAAGAATTAATTAAATTTATATGAAGGATGTTTAAAAAAAAAGTTATTTTATTCAATATTTTTTATTTATGTTAAAAACAAAAATATATTTTTGCTAATTTACGAATTATGAAATCTTTTCTTATACATCATAAATTTATTTTTATGATCATTCTTCTGATCTTCTGTCGATTCTCAATATACATATGTATATATGCAAATATAGTACAATATGTACGCATTATATATACAGGTAACTCTTGCATAATATAGTATTTTTACAATGCAGTTTCGAAACATGTTACACAAATAACGTTTTTGAAACATGAATTCACTTTTTATATGAAATCAAAATCTTGCACAACACAATCAAAAATCTAAATCCCGCATTATACGAGAGTTATCTATATATGTATGTATAAAATGTACATTTGTATATATATATATATATATATATATAATAAAAATGAATTTATGAATATTGAGATTACATAAACGTATCTTAATATATATGAATGTTAAAATATAAATGTAAAAATAAATATTATTTAAATAATATTTATAGTAAAATCTTATAAGGAAATATTAGTAATAAATTGTTAATTTATTTAAATTAATTTTCTATTCTTTTTTAAGTAATTGATATTTTATGAAAAAAATATAAAAGATGTAAGTATAATACTAGTCAGTAAATTAAGTATGAAAGTCAAAATAACTCATTCATAAGTGTAAAATATCAATTTAATATTTTTACAATATATTTTTCAAAGGATTATGTATTTATTTTTTAAAATATAATTATTTTTTAAATATGTTACATTTAAATAAAATTGATATCACTTAAATATTTTATTTGGTAAAAGCAATGCTAGAGGACAAATCAATAAGTATTTGAAAGACAGTTTGTAGTTATAGCTATATAGCCTGAGGAACTAGGACGTTTTATTTGAAATTTAAAGTCGATCAAAGAGAAAATTGCAGATGAATATCACATGTGTCATATGGAAATGAAAGATTCGTCAAAACAATTTTCAAACTAGCAAAGATATCTTGGATTGAAAAAATGTGTTATGACAATTGAAAAGAAAAAAAATTGGAAAAAAAAAAATAAAAATGGAAAAGAACCAACGTTGTTGACACATCAAAATAATTCCATAATTTTATAGAAAATTCGATAGTTGTATAAAAATTAGACTTTTTCTAAATCATAGAATCATTATGATCTCTCATCGCCGAAATAGTTTGTTCGTTTTAAAAAAAGAAAAAGAGAAAAAATACGATTAGTCAAGAGAAAAAGACGAAGAAATCATAATGTTTGCTGACCACAATATCACCTGCAGGGGTCAGTTGTAGCTAGAGTGGGGGATAGCGTGGAGGGTGGTAAAGAGTATTCGTGCAGGCTGGTGGTTCGCTAGTTTCGTGGTAGCGATAACCCCCGATGCGCGTGTGCACCTACGTATTTCAATGTGTTAGGTTTAGATAGATTCGCTTATACAAGGAAAGAGAGACCTCAAAGCCGTTTTCCTCGGTCGTTCAATACGCGCGCGCGCGAAACGAATCGACTTCGTCCATAGTATCGTCACAGTTCTCGTCGGAGACGTTCGTGATTTTGCACCTTTGTTCAAGTCACAATTTACCGAACTATATGACGAGGGTACACCGCTGTCTCCTTTCTTATTTTCCTTCGTCTCTACTTCTATCTTCGCCTTTCCCTTTTTTTAACACTTTTTCTTTTATTAAATCTTTCGTTTTCTTTGCTACCTCATTTCTCTTTACGTTACTTTCACTTGTTATATTTAAATACGTATCAGTTTTTATTCCGATTCTATTCGATCTCATTTTCACTTTAATACATGCCATTTTAACTATCCCCAAGCTTTATACGTTGTTTTTCTCGTCTAATTCTTTTTTCCTCTTTACCCCGTTCGTCGACACATCGTTGTCATCTCATTCAAATCTTATTCGGGACACTGTTCAGAACTTGATCTTCGAATCTCCTTGGATAAAGCAGATGGTAAATATGACTCGCGAGTGTTGTACGTTACTGGAGTGACCAGTAAGCAACTGATTTTGCGTCATTTCCTATTGTTATTTCTTCTTGTTATTTGACATTGTTTTCTATCGCGATACGATCAGCCACGGAATCGTGTGTGAACGATATCCAGGAGACAACGTCGCAGAGCAGACCGGATTAGGGGTACATCGATCATCAAGAGATCAAAGAAAGAAATCACGCAACGTCTCTTTCGAGTATACTACTCTCTACCCTTTCTTTTTTTTTTTTTCTTATTTTTTTTTCATATCTTCCGGCTTCCCTCTTTCTTGTTACTCATTTGACATTTCCCTTCTCTTTCTTTCTAATCATTTCCGTTTCTCTCATTTTCGATTTCCTTCTCGACTTTTTTACCGCTTGGTGGTGAAACGCGTCGCAGCGGCACGATCGTCATCGACGAAAAAAGAAGAATCTATATACTGTACCGCGACATACATTCGAGTTCGCGCTCAGTCAATAGCAGCTGCATCCTTTGAAATTTCAAAAGAACCACAAATACAAGAGTATCCACAAACGTGATCGAATGCGAACGCATTGTGATCGAATATCAAACGACCGGCGACCAAACTACCGGGAAAAAAAACTGCCTTCCACCTTAATACGGGTTGTATCACCACAATTTCGAGGAGAAACGAGCCAACGAGTCGCGAGGAGTAAACAGTATTATGCGTCTCCTAGACTTTTGTTTACTATTTAAGAAAAGAGATATTTACAGAAGAGTCTATACGAGTTTGCAAATCTCGTAGATAAAAGAAGGAAAAAAAGAGGAAAGGGAACGAGAACGGGACAAGTTCTGTGTAGGAACCGCAACGATGAAAGGTACAAATTTCGGTGAACCGAGGAACCAAAGATTCCAATGATCCCTTCGCAAGGTGGCCGTGAGGGATATAAAGGTTCTCCCAACCCTCCGAGCAACGGCTCTGAGGACAATGGCTTCGCTAATCGACCTCGAGTGGCGGGCCTTTACACGACGAATCTCTTCAGACAAGAGCTCGTTCGATCGTCAGAAGAGACTGGTGCTCGATCTCATGGTCCCGCGCGAGATATTCTTGAAAGATCGTCACGAGAGATTGGAAGCCAAAGAAGTTTAAATCTTCCTACGGGTATTGCCGAGGAATTTGAGCTGTTGGATCGGTCGAGAATCGGGATTTCGAGGACGCCTCAACCATTGAGAAGGGCAGAGGTGACCGTTGCTCATTACGAACCGAGATCCAGATTCGACGAGTCGATCAGGCGAGGGGATCATTATGGATCGCCGTCTGTCGAGAGAATCCGTGGGAGGGAACACGAGCAACAGGAAGGATGCGTTCTACCCGACACAATTCGAAGATCCCACGCTGAATTTTCCGAGCAGACGTTATGGATGGAGTCGGATATCGATAATTCTAAAATACCTATTTCAACTGGCGATTTTGCTGGGAGAAGGGGGCAAGAAGATAGTTCCACTTTCGCTTCAACCTCCGCCTCGATACTTATTTCACCCGCTAGCGAACAAGCGAGTGCGATGCGATCTCGCCCCCGGAAGTGGAGAAGCCATCACCGCCACCGTACACGGGCCTCAGCCCGCCTGAATACACCGAGCACGTGTACGAAACTAGTGAAACACCTTCGCCGATATTTCCAAATTATCCGTTGACATCGTACGCGGAGGAGACGCGTCACAGGCGTTCGAGATCCTCCGTTTCGGACGCTGAGCTTGAATTTATAGCACGCGAGGAACGTTTAAGAAGCGAGGATCGGTTTGAGTCGGAACACTTGGAGAAAGGTTCGAGGCAAATCGAATCCGAGCATCGAGATTTTTCTAAAACGATTAAATCGGCGGATGAGGATGCGTCGAGATCGAGGGACGTGGCGAGGTTACGACCTCCTTTAACAGCAGTGGCGGGCGCTTCGGCCGATTCTGGGACCGGTGATTCCGGAAGTGCGGAGATCCAAGTGGATCCTCTTGGCACGCCTAGGACAACGACCGCAGGCGAGATTTTGGATGGAGGGAACGGGATTGAAAACGGTCAAGCTGCCAATAAATCGACGATTAAAACTCCCACGAACAATAAACAAACGGTTAAACTGTTCACGAAAGAAAGCCTCGACAGGTTGGAGAATAGAACTGTGCAACTTGTCAGGGATTATGGATTTCAACCGAAGAAACGGATGTCGGTCGAAGATGGTGCGGTGCTTCCAAATAAATATGAACCTTTCCCAACCGATCTTTACGGCAGGCCTCTCGAAGAAATCGACAATTTTATTTACGACGAGGTACGTCTATCTAAATACACCTATCTTTTCTTGTTATTTTATGATAAAAGTTCAATTTTAATGAAACGCGTGGAAAAATATTAAAAATTTTGAATAGAATTTATAATGTTACCAAAAGAGAAAATTAAAATCGTCAAATTGATAAGCAGAATTTATTCAATTTCGAAAGATAAAAAATACGT